TAGCTCGTCTGTGTTGGGACATTCTTTTGAACAGTGGTTGCTTTGTTTCCCCGATGTATAACTGGTCACAGTCCTCCTGGCACTTAACAGCATATACAACACTGCTCTGTTTGTGCCGGGTTACCAGATCTTTGGGGTGAACCAGCCTTTGCCGTAACTACAGAAATCTAGTTTCCCGGTTCTGACTCCTGCTCTCTGATCAGCCAATCAAACGATGAGAAAACATTGACGCAGTCCGAGGCCAGCTAGCAGGCCCTGAGGTCTTCAACTCAGCATCTGATTGGTCAAAGCAACAGTATCACTGCCGTGTGTTTCACCCTCCAGGTGCCTTCGCTACTCGTTCTGAAAGCCTGAGGCAGATTTGTGGTCCCTAGCAACAGATGATGATTGAAATATGATTGGCTAAAACCTCTAAACAAATACAAGCTACTGGAAGCTGCGCAGCCAGGAGAAAAACTATGAAACAAAGAGAACAGATATTTCAAAAATAGTTATACCCTTATAATAATATTAATAACTATTATAATAAATATAAAATATTCTATTATGTAGTGATTCTGATTGTGTTTAGGCCAGCAGATAAGGCTTTGCTGGCCCTGACGGCACACCACTGAGTTTTAGAGAACAGAAGAGAGACTCAAACAAGAGTTGGTGAAGTTTCCACAGGAAGAAACACAAAAAAAAATAAACACAGGTTGATGGCAGCTCAAGTAGAGGAGAGAGACTAAAGACAGCAGCAGAGTGGGAAATGTGCTGAGTTTGTCCTCCAGCAGTCTAAGTCTAAAGCAGCAGAACTATGGAATAACTCAGGAAACCTAAACCTAACTATAGAATTTATCAAAAAGGAAGCCCGTCCGTTTTTTTCCTCTTATCTGTGGTTGGGTCATGGGGGCAGCAGTCTAAGCAGAGAGACCCAGACTTCCCTCTCCTCAGCCACTTGGACCAGCTCATCCGGGGGAATCCCAAGGTGTTCCCAGGCCTGCTGAGAAACATAGTCCCTCAAGGGTGTCCTGGGTCTACCTCTGGGCCTCCTCCCAGTGGGACGTGACCGGAACACCTCACCAGGGAGGTGTCCAGGAGGCATCATAACCAGATGAACCACCTCAACTGGCTCCTCTCGATGTGGAGGAGCAGTGGCTTAAAAAAAGAAAGTCTTCAGTCGACCGACCGACCGACACACATATACTTCAACTACATCATGGTTATTTGCACCATTTCATATACACAAAATACAAATCATTAATACCTTTTTTTATCAACAATATCATTATTATTATTACTGTCCGTACATGCAAAAAAATGTAATATACTGTATTACCATCACAACCGACTACTACAATCCATAATTCATAATTCATAATTAATTTACTTTTTAACTTTTTGAAACTTAAAAGAGAGTTACTAATCTTAATTTCATCACTTAAATTATTCCACAATTTAACACCCAATACTGAAACAAATCTGTATTTGATATTTGTTCTTACTTTATGTACTTCAAAAATAAAGAACCCCCTTAAATTGTAATTATTTTTCCTGTAACTTAAAAAAATCTTTGAATGCCATCAGGAAGACTTTTTATTCTTACTCGTTATAGTAACTCCAGTGTTCTTAAATACACTGTATCACTAAATTTTAAAGCAGAAGACTTTAAGAATAGTGGGTTTGTGGAATCAAAAAACTCAGCATCATTTATTGATCTAATTACTCTTTTTTGAAGTTTAAGTATTGGATCTATATTGGTTTTATAAACATTACCCCAAACCTCTACACAATAGGACATATATGGCACTACAAGTGAAAAATAAAGTGCATGCAGACAACTTCTATTTTACAATTCTTTGGTTTTAAAAATAATTGCAACAGATTTTGATATTTTTTGGCTGATATACTCTATTTGTGACCTCCAAGATAGTTTTTTTTTATCAATGATTATTCCCAAGTACTCTTTCAATTTCAACTCCATGTAAATTTAATTTGACATTATACCTAACCMTAACTCCACTAAACACCATGTCAAGCTTCAAGAGGAGCTGGATAACTGAAAGCTCTGCCTCCTATTCCCACACTTTTTATCCATTCAGTTCCTCAAGATTTCACTTACCTCTCAGAGAAGAGTGTTATCAGATCCATCATGGACTTCATCACAGAAGCTGGGAGAAAAGGTTTGTGGGCCTGAACCCCTGAGAAGTACAGTGTTGTTAAAAAAACATATCAAAGCTAAGCATTCCTCCCCTTTTGCACCTAGGTCCAGAGTTCTCCCATCCTKCCCTGGTTAAGWCGGCTTTGGCCTCACTGGCTTCAGTTGGACTCAGCTTCCAGTTTCCTCCAGTGAACTGGAGTGCTGTCCTGTCCCCTTTAATGAGACTCAGCTTTGGTAAGAACTTGTCTCTTTGTACAACAGGGTTACCTGCAGGACTGTAACATGGTCTGTTTGTCTTTGRCAGGAGAGGATGTACAGCATCAGTGTGTAGTGTTAGCAGTCTCTCAGGCTCAGTCTTCTCAAAGTGCTTCCCTCTTCCTGGGCTCATGGCTGGCCCCCCCTCTTGTGCACAGTCTCAGTGTAAGTAACCCATGTCTGCAGATCCCAGGGTTGCTTTTAGAGCTTTATCTAATCCATGGAGAACCAAAGCAAGAGCTGCGTCCGTGTCCTCAGCCCAAACGTCTGCTTGTTGTATTTTGTTGGACTCTGTTCCTGGTCTTTGATCCTAGATAAGTTAAAAGATTTTTAATAATCCATAACAAAAACTTTTAAAGGCAAATCCTMGCTAGTTGTATAGTCTTGGATTATCTCATGGTGAGAAATGGAGTTCTAACAGATTTGGTTCAAGGTTGACTGAAGATAAAGACTCCTTACAAGCGTTCTCTTTGCAGCTCCAGACTCGAGCCCACCTGTATGAGACCCTGGGCTTGTGGATGAAGCATGTGGCTGAGGACAAGCTCCAGCTTTATGTGGAGACGTTAGGCCTGCAGCAGTTCCATGATGACCTCCGACCCCAGCGACTGTCTCTGTGCCACTCTCTACTGCAGGGTCTTGCTCAGGCCATGGCTCTCCCAAACCCCCCCARTCACTGCTGGAGCGTTCTCTGCTCCACCACTGAGAAGATCTTCAACCTCCTACCCAACCAGATCCAGGTACAGTCTACACATCCAGATGTTGAAAGCTGAGACTAATATACGCTACCTCTATGTGCAGTGGTGGGCTGCGCTAATCCAAAATTTAGCTCCACAATTTCTAAAGCGCTTATGAAAATATTTAGGTCCGCAACTTCAAAAGCACTTACGTCATAGAAAAGTAGCGGAAGCTAATTTTAAAGCGCAAGTTTAATTTGACACTTACAAGCCGGCAACAATTCATGTACAATATGTACACAACACTGCCAACTAGTGGTGTATGAACTCTTTTACAACTTAATTCTACAACCGCCGATTCCTGGGGATGTGATTTCATGAAACAGACCTTTAGCTCCTGGTGTAAAAATGAAAAAGTTGTTAAGGATTGCTAGTTCGGCTGCTTCTTTGTC